CTTTATATGTTATAAATTTTTATTTAAATATGTTAGAGAGTAGAGATAGAATTGATAATTTTTGTTGTAATTTACGCAGGATGAAACGTTTAATTGTTTGAGTTAAAATTAGACGCTCTCTAGATGGTGCCACCAATCCATCTATAAATTAGTTTACTTACGATATTTACAGTTTTATTTTCTTTTTAGCAGTTTGAATGTAACTCTTTTGACTATCTCATTTTTCTTTGATTAGTCATTGGTTCTTCCTGGAGTCAAAGCGACACTGGTTTTTCGTGAAGTTATTACGGTTGAAAGCGACTTGTTTCGTGTTAGCATGCGAGTAAGAGATTAGTATTGATTGGGATTTTTTGCGGTTGGGGGAGATTCTCCAGTTGTTGGCCCATTCTTCGAAGCAGTGGAGTAGTTTCTAGACGATGGTGATGGCTCGGCTGGGGGAGCGGTGTTAGGTCCAAAAGACAGTGTCGTCCGCGAACGTCCTGCTCTTGGTCCTTGTGGTGTCAGAAAAGAGAAAATCGGTGCAGTAAATCAAACACACAATAGGTGAAAGCGCCGATCCTTGAGGGATTCCGGCTTCTATGTTGTCTATTGTGGATTTGGGGATGACAATTTTTACTTTGCAGGGTCTGTTGGATAGGAGTGAGTAGGTGAATTTCATGAAAGCGGGATGCAGTCTTTAACGTTCGTGTGTCTTGTAGAGTTTGCCGGAAATTCTAGGAGGAGGTTAATGGTGGAGCGTTGAGGTCTGGAACCAAATTGTTGGTCGGACAGTAGATTATGGGTTTCCAGAAATGGTGCCAAACGGGAGGCTAAATTTATTTCAAGAAGAGTTCCCATGATGGAGATTGGGAGATTGGGCGATAATATGTGCGGTTGTGCTGGTCTTCGTCAGGTTTAGGAATCATTATGGTTGAGGCAGATTTCCATGCTTTCGGAAAGTAGAAGGAAGATAGAAGTTGTTTAAGATTGTTGTGAGGGCATGTAATGCAGGTTCCGAGAGGTATTTTAGTAGAATGGATTTTATTTCGTCAGGGCCAGGGGCTTTCGAATTTTTCAAACGTTTGATGAAGGATAGGCCTTCGTCTGAAGATGTTTGGTTGGATAGGTCGTCGTCAGGTTATAGCAGAAGTCTTGCACTTCTTGGAAAATTTTTTCGAAGAAATTTTGGTTGAAATTGGGGTTTTGTGGGATTGAGTGGATTGCCTGAAGTGTTTCCGCGAAGAGGTTTGCTTGGTCTTGGAGGGATGTTAGGAATGTTAGGTTTCCGACAGGGCCAGGATTTGAATTTTGTCGGTTTCGATGAAATGTTTTAATGGGTGGAATTTTCGATTAATCCCGTCGATATTAACGGTGGATATATTGAGAAAAGGGGACGGATTTGCGCTTGCCTGCACAGGATTAGGCACGGGGTCAGGGGAGCAGATTCGTCGAAGATGGGGGATTATTCATCGAACGTGAAGTGGAGGCTCCCGCCGGAGGGATTAATTCAGGTGTAGCCTGAAGATGGCTATCAGCTGTCTTGGGTGGACGATACTGGAATCGATTGGGTTGATTCGTTGGTGGGGTCTGTTGGGTAAGCGAATTCCTCTGGAGGATCTATGATTAGGACGGGGAAGCTTGGGGTGTCGTCGGAGATGGCAAATTCGTGCTATTTGGGACATTTTCGGGACCATGCCGGATGGTTGCATCACCAAAAGGGGCATTTTGGGTCGGCTTGGGGGCATTTGTTGGGGGCGTGTTGGTCGGGGCATGTAGACCAAATGGGGCAGTTCGGGTAATTTGAAGCTTCGTGGCCTCGTTCGAAGCATGTCGAACATTGGATTGGAGTTGGGGGCGATGCATGCGAGATTTCGGCGGTCGAAGAGGGTGATCCCCCAGGTTAAGAGAATGTCGATGATGGACATGTTCGGGGAGGTGACACGGACTAAGGATGTGAATTTGTCCGTTTTTCTGGATTTGATTTTCCAGATCTGGTGGAAGGTCAGGTTGAGATTGTCTAGTTCCTCACGGATGTCGTTTTCGGATATGTCGGAATCGATGGATTTGATTACTATCGAAAGTAAGGTGGGTTTTTTGGTTGATGGCAAGTAGGGCATTTTGGGAGGGTTAATGGGGTCGATTTCTATTTCGATTTTAGCTTTTTGGAAAAGTTATCCGGGGGGGTTCAGACACTATGAAGAGTGCTGTCCGGTTGAAATTAACCTTGAGCACTTGGAGTCTTTTGACTTGGAGGTGGGAGACGAGGATCGTGTAGAAGGTTTTCTGGTTGGCTACTTTTTGGGGAATATTTTTTATGTGGAATTTGTATTTGGGGTGTTGGGAAGAGGCGAAAGATGATATGGAGTTTGACTGTGTCATGGTTGTGTTTGTTTTTGAGCTAGATGAAGAAGAGTTTAAGGGTGAAGCGGATGAAGCATGCGGGCTAATTGGACTTGACTCACCTGCAAATTTTTGTTTTGTTGGAGGTTCGTTGAGGCCTGCAGGAGGGATGACCTCTGGGCGGGAGCTTTGGGCTTTTGCTGCGCTGGAAACGGTCTGAGTGCACGAACGCGTCTGACGAGGAACGACAGATATACTGTCCTGTATTGGTCAGCTGAGAATAAGACATCCGGTTTTCCTGGCTAGCATGGAAGGTGACTTCATTTAGGGAATGGATTTGTATTAAAGCGAAACCTGCAAGATTGATCATTTATCAGAACTGCACACTGCGACGAGGTTGAGCAACGCAAAACAGCAGGAAGAACGCAATCGTAGAAGATGATGAATGGACTACAGCTCGGTTTAGAAAAGACCAGGAGAAAGACGTGGATATTGGGCAGCCCCTCAGATGCAAAAGAGATGGGATAAAACCACCTGGCATGTGGAGAACGGATTGCTTAACCAAGCCTGGGAAAGTACGGATGGAAAGCATGTCACTATGCAGTTGGTGGTTCCGGCCATTAGAACCAAGAGTACTTCAACAAATGCACAACGGAAGTTCTAGTGTTCATTCTAGAACGTCAGCTCATCTTTTGGAAGAACTGCAGAAGATATAGCGAATTTCCTCTCAGTGATCGAAGAAAGGAACAAGTACAGGAAGAATATCAAAAGCTACCACGATGGCTTACAGGAGAAACTGCCGAGCGTTCACGAAATGCTGCACCACAAGAATAGAGTGGTGAGTGGTAGAATGAAGACATGTTACGATATTAGGGACAACTCAGTAAGGTTCTAGGCAAGAGATTTGGTATGGCTTTATAACCCCTGAGGAAGGAATGGTCGTTCCCCGAAGTTGTCACCAGACTGGAAATGTCCATATACTGTCGTGACGAGGATCAACGATGTTGTATACAGGATTCGACAAGGACCGAAGACGAAAATGAAGATTGTTCATTTAGGTTGCCTCATGAAGTACAATAGTGACACCATTGATGCTCAGTGTTAGGCAATAGACTCATCGCTGCCCCGGTACGACGTCTAGTACGTACGACGATGATGGATGACTCATGGCCTGGGAGCGGAAATCACGATGGGTATTCCAGAAAGGCCTCGATCGCTGAACATCTAGAAGAAAGTATGGGTTTAAACGGAGGCCACCGTCGGTAACGAATTAGTCTCAGCCAACAAGTGAAGTCCAGACAATGGAAGAATTTGAGTTACTAGGAAAATCGTTGCGTTTTACCCACGCCGATCAACGCAACAGAATCTTCTGATGACTCCTTGGTTAATTTAGAATACTTTAGCCCCATCGGGAAATCTGACCACCTTACTATGAGTGTTGACTTGTTGTGTTTCATACACTCCTCGCAGGAGATTGTATCATTAAAGACTAAAGCCACAGATTATGAAGCATAGCGCATGATAAAAGCACAAATCGTCTATATAAGTAGGTATATTCCAACTAAATTATCTGGTCCAGTTGGAGCTTTATATTTTATATCAAACTCGCATAAAAACGTAGTCTGACAAATGCCTCTATTACTTTTGAATTTAAGCCCTAACATTTGGATAATACATGTTTAACATACTTATTATTTTGTTTCGATAATTGCTATTGGACACTCAACATATTTTCTTAATCAATGTTGCTTTTTTATAACCATGAAACTTGAAAAGGTCCCAAATGGCATGATCAATGTCAAATTTATCTTGTTACCTGTTAATACGTTTCCAAAAGATGATGTCTCCGTTGTTAACAAACTTATTGTTATGAAATTTGTAATATAATATGTCCACATCTTTCACTATATAACACAGGGGCAGAGTCAAAAAATAATTTTCTACACATCATCTTTTTTTTTTTAATTTGGTGAAATTTTTATCACGTATCTTTAAAAATCAAAATCTCAATTATTCGTGGAAATTTTGTAACGCGGTTTTCACTACTGCTTTCAGTTTGCAAAACTTTATAAAATTTATTCAGAACATTGTCGATTTTTATTGGCGGGAATGAGATGTGAGAGATGGGGTAGAATAGAAGGTTTTTCGACGCAAGCTCTTTTCACTGAATCGTCAGTATCTTTAAATTTCTTTTAAAAAGAAAGTAATTAACTAGTTTTTATTTTTTATTTATGCAAATGTTTGTATGACCTTAGTGCAGACATTATAGTTGAAGGTCTGGCTGCAACCTTCAAATTTTATTTAGCAATAAGGACTAAGAACATTCAACAGAAACAATGGTGATAAAAAAGACCAAACACAGAAACGGCTTTAGATGTTCTGAAAAAAAAAACTTAGTCGTCAACAAAATTTGTTACACCATACAACAATAATTATTATTTTGAAACAGAGAGGTACCCTGACGCATGTAGCATAAACGATATGTTAATTACCCAATATTTTGTCAGTGTTTATATTTTATGGCTAACAATTAAACCTTGAAATGAAACATTTATTTTTTTTATGTCCCTAACAAACCTTCCTGTATATCACTAACTTATATAAAACTGACATACACGTAGATAACTGTGTATATATATTTGAGTACATTTCGAGGTAAGTTAACTTAGTTTCCACGAGTGGTAATAAATGGTTCTTTCGATGGATAGATGGGTGGCCAAAGTTGCCATAGTAACTGGTGCTAGTTCTGGAATTGGTGCCGCCGTTGCTGATGCTCTCGTTGAAAAAGGCTTAATCGTTAAATCATCTTTTCTCTCGTTTAATAAACGCTCTAGATATTATTTTAGGTGCTAGGTGTAGCTCGTCGTTCTGAACGTATAGAAGAACGTGCTAAACAACTTTCAAGTAAGAAAGGAAAACTCTATGCCATCAAAGCTGACTTTTCCAAAGAAGAAGACATTTTGAAAGTCTTTAAATGGTCTAAAGATAATTTAGGGCCCGTTCATATTTTGATCAACAACGCCGGAAGAGGAGGTAATACAAACTTAACAGAAGGCGAAACCGAACATTGGAAAAATGTTTTTGATCTAAACGTTCTTGGACTGAGCATTGCCACAAGAGAAGCAGTCAAACTTATGAAAGAGAATAAAATTAATGGGCATATAATACACGTGAACAGCGTTTTTGGACACAAAGTGACTCATTTTGCAAATTTAAATGTTTATCCTGCTTCGAAATTTGCAGTTACTGCTCTTACTGAAACTTTAAGACAAGAATTAAACCATGAAGGACTGAAAATCAAAGTTACCGTAAGTTTTCTGATTGGTATGATTTGTTGTTGACTTTGTGAGTTGAAGAGTGTTAGTCCTGGTATAGTCGAAACCGAAATGACAACTTTAAATCCGGATATAACTCCGGAAGAGAAAGCTTTTTTCGAGGAGATGGCTAGTCTAAAAAGTGAAGATATTGCTGACGGTATTGTGTATGCTCTTTCAACACCAGAACATGTTCAAGTAAGTTAAAATGTTTGCTCTTGCGAAGCTATATGCTTGTGTTTCAGGTTCACGAGCTGACCATTAAGCCTGTTGGTGAAAAATTTTGACCAACGAAACTGTAAGAACCGTTAATGAAACGGTGGAATTATTTATATAAGTATATATTTAAACCAAAATAATAAGCTCTATTTGTTAAACATTTTATAACTATCTTCCAACTTATCTTGTTTTCATCATTTTGTGTGGAAGTTTTTTTACTATTAAAAATTTGAATAGATTTCCTTCATGGCGAATGTGGAAGGTGATGATCCTAAGAAAGAATGCCCAGTGTATTGCATCTAAACGCATTTCGCCACAAAAAAAAATTAACACGAACACAATGTAGGGTTCCATTTTGATCGACCATCATAGTTCAAGGCATACTGTAACTTACAAATAAATGTTGAATTTTACCGCTAAAAAATTCAACAGAGGCACTAGTGATAAAAACGACCAAAGTTAATTCCTAGTTCTGCTATCTTAAAAAATTACTTCGTTATCAATCATACAACAATTATTTAAAAGCAGGATGCGTGCAACACGAGCGATAGCACACTACTTGACAATTTAATTAACGGAATGATATGTCAGCCGTGTAGGTATACATTACCGCCGATATCTGAACATTTATTTTAACATAATGTGTTTCCATAATTAAACATGTTTCATTTATTTATTTCGCTAAATAAAACCTTATAATAACAACATGCTGTATACCACTGTATTGTATAAAAATTACACCTACTTACTTATTTAGAAAATCGCCAATATACATGGTGTTTACTCAACAGGCAAAAATTGGAGGTCACAATTCCTGGTTTTGTTGTCCTTACAATAGATAAAGAAACCATTACTCGTTAATTGCGATCACTTACTATTTTAATTGCCATATATTTCCGGTAATTACCGACCTTTTAACATTCAAAAATACAAAGTTTAGCATTTAAATATACTCGTACGTCACATTTTTCTGTAATTAAATGCCCATTAAAAACAATCATCAAAACAACAATATGATAACCCAAACTTCCCGCCTTTAAATTGACCTTGAAAAAGTTTGAAAGGCCCGCGAAAAATTCAAAAATTCAAAGTTTGGCCTTAGCTGTGATCGTCTAACAAAATGGGAACCTACGTTGTGTTTTTTTTTTAAGTCCGGGAAAACGTTCTTTCATACAAGTGCATATACTGCGTGTGAGTCGAGAGCGCAAGAAATAATAGACAAAATTGTTTTGGAGGGGCTACCACGGCACCCCCTTGCAGGAGGTAAGAGGCTGCGAAGATTTACCCCTCAGCGCAAAAACCCCCTATCGTATATTCCCGGACATATTACATTTCAAACACCTTAAGAGATATGAAGGAAAAGACATTCGCGAATTGACAGACATACACATATGAAAAACGAAGAAACGCAAAATCCTATACATCTGTTTGAAATCAATGTAAATATATATCTGAATATCACAAATTTAATAAAACAACAAAGCAAAATCTGAATTAAAGTAACTGGATGCTAATACACAAGTTATTACGGGCGTGTGGCGTCAGATTTTAAAGTTGCGGCAGTTAACAGGAGCACAACAAAAGAACCCCTGGGCATTCCAGCATAAGCGGAGTTTGGGGCTACCCGGTTCGGGCTGGTCTCCCCCGTGACGGTAATTCTATCTATCGCAAGCCTACCGCACAGCACATCTGCATCACGAACAAACTGCACTAACCAGGCCGTTTCGGCCGAAACCTAGAGGTGAAGTCAAGCCGATATCACCCCACCGTCCAGACCGTTCCCACTTAATCTATTCAAAGCCTGCAACCCTTGTGCAGATGGCGCGATAAATCCCGATAGCCACCGCCAGGAGCCGCTCCCTGCGCTTCTGCCACGTGTTTCGGTATTATTTAACCCCAGTTCCATCCTTTTCTTTTAAGTGTTCAATTTCTTTTAACTCTGCTATTAATAACAACGGAACAAGTTAGTGTTAAAGTTTCAAAACAGCAATAAACAACATTTAAATTCGCCATATATTCTTGTGAAATTTTAAACAACAAATAATTCTTATGTGAGATTAAAAATAGGACATCAAATAATTTATATGATAGAAACATTCATCAACAAAGTATTTACAAAACAAAACTTAGCAAGGATTTATGAAACAAAAGATCTGGTGTGAAATAAACTTGTACAAATAGAAACATTATGTGAAGTTAAAACTGTGAGATTGAGAAATATTGTATGAGGTGAAAATTTGCAGAGTTAACAATATTTACATGAGATTCATAATTGCCACACTTTTTCAACCTTGGTGATTGGTTACTTCAAAAAAACAATTTACTTTGAGAGTTTAAAATACCCCGAATTGGTTACCCCAACAAAACACGTATTAAACAAACACAAAAATATTCAGTCATCGTTGCGAGGAAAAAAGCGTCTCGGTGATGTAAATTTTAAATCTTTGCGAGGAATTGCCTCGATGATGTATATTTTAGCGGTGGGAGGAATAAGCCTCGTTGATGTTATTAATCTCTAGCGTTGCGAGGACGAACCTCAATGAAGTAATCAATCTGTAGCGTTGTGAGGATAGGTCTCGATGAAGTAATCAATCTTTAAAGTGGTGAGGGCATGCCTCAATGATGTTATCAATCTATGGCGCTGCGAGGACAAGCTCCAGTGATGTGATCATGATAACGATGATAAACACCTAAGAGAAGAATTTATTTTACCTCCGCCAGTTCGCAGTATAATAAACTTGTTTAACTGCCGTAAATGTACTATTAGCAATCTCGTGTGAAGAATTTAGAAGTGTTATAATGTAACACTTACGTATATGCATCCAGAAACTTATTCGTAATTAAACAGCAAGGTGTTTTCCTGACTAAGTGAATTTCATGAAATCTTCTAGCAAGTGGTTTATTTAAATAATCCTGATTGTTAAATTGTTTTAGCACAAGCTGACGATTAAGAAAAACTAACTTGATTGGTGAATTTCCAAATAATAAAACAAATTTACAGCACGTGTTTCGCGTTGAACGGATGTCCGCAATTTTTCGATTAAAAGGCCGCAAGGATTAACCGCGCGGGTTGGAGACAACAGAGTAACGTCGGTTACGATTGATTGTCGTTAAACAAAGGCTTCCATCTTATTAACTACCCAACCAACTAATTTAAACCTAGCTCTTTACCACGTCATTACACTCACAAAGACACATTCAGACTGACGCTCCGCCATGCAGTTTTCTGTCTAACCACCAACCCTCTAACTAAAATCCCCTAGCGCTATAACTAAAACACGCAGAACAACCTTGGTGCATGGGGCACTACATGCAGTAAACCCAACGTGCATATTTGGTTGCCTATGTTTAACAAGTTCTTTTTGTGAGTGAATTTTTTTTCTTTCAAATTCAAATTATTCCAATGTGATTTGGTGCCGCTGTTAATTAATTTCAGCGCGAAAATTTTTATTTAAATTCGGTCACCACAAAAACAAAGCTAAAATTTGTTCTATATGTATACCGGGCATTTTTTTTAAAACTGAACATAGGCCTATGTTCAGTTTTAAAACGACGCTGTCAATGCAGGAACATTGTTGGTTGCATAACCACGAGAAATCGTTTGAGTAAAGCAGAGCTTTTTCACCGAAACTACAGCGTGTTATGCACATGTTCAACAATAAACAAAACCATAAATACGACAAAAATTTTATAAAACAAAAACTAAATTTTATAACAAATATTCGAAATGACCGCCTCCCTGTTCCAAGCAATAACCAAGTCTGTGATGGAATCCTTGCACTGATTTCGTACGAAATTTGGATTCAACTCTTGGCAAGCTCTGACTATTCGTTCCTGTAACTCCTGAATTGTTTGAATTTCTACGTGATCATAAATTGTATTATGTAGGTGTCCCCAGAGAAAAAAATCATTTGGCGAAAGATCTGGTGATCGTGCACGCCAAGCTACAGGACCAAATCTGCCTATCCAACGTTCACCAAATACATCATTTAAATAATTCGTAACTATTCTATACGAATGTGCTGGTGCACCATCCATCTGGAACCAAATATTCTCAATATTTAGTGGTTCAATTTCAGGAATAATATGTTCCTTAAAAGTCAAAGAAATTTATTTGCATTTAAATTGCCATCAATAAAAAATGGTCCAATGAGCCTATTGTTTATTAAGCCAGCCCACACATTTAGTCTTTCTTGTACTTGATGGCGAATTAAATTTTGCACATGAGGATTTGTGCGGGCCCAGTATCTGTAATAACAACATTTTGGCATAAATAGCATTGAATAATAAAATTGTAGAAAATCTGACCGATAATTTTGTGAATTAACTTCGCCATTCCTACTAAATGATGCCTCGTCTGTAAACAATGTTTTCTAAAAGTTGTTCATTAGTGTTCAGTGAGTTAAACATCAATTCACAAAAATCCGTCCTCCTAATTTTATCCTCTTCAGTGAGGTATTGATGATTCCTAAATTTATATGGTTTAAATCGACATTCCTTCAAAACTTTTCGAATTGATAATCTGGAAATACCGAAGTAGTTACTCATTTGCGTTACGGTGGATATTGGTTCCTCTTCAGCGTAGCATAATACGTTTAATTTCATCTCTTCGGTTAAAATGTGACATCTCCTATTTCTTTGATGATGGCTATTGACGACACATCCTCTTGCATTAAAATTTTTAATTATGTTCCAAATTGTTGCGAGAGACGGAATTGGCCTAGTAGGGTACTGTATTGAAAATAAATCCCTTACAATTCGCATGCTACTACCAGCTTGGTACCATTGCAGTATTTGAATTTTTTCTTCTGTCGAATACATTGTGTGCAAGCAGTTTTGACATTTTAGAAAACATTTCAAAGCATTCTATTTGATTCTACTTTTTTAAACGATGGAGTTGTTGTAATGTTGGTTGCATTACAGTTGCAATTGACTGCGTCGTTTTAAAACTGAACATAGGGATATGTTCAGTTTTAAAAAAAATGCCCGGTATACATAACTTTATATCTGCGTAGATAGTGAATAGCTTCAGTGAGTAACATACCTACCAATACCAACAAAATCGGATGTATTTAAAATGGTACTTTCCATGGTGGGCAAAGTTGTCATCACGGGAGCTAGTTCTGGAGTCGGTACCACCACTGCGAATGCTCTCTTCGAAAAATGCTTAATCGTTAAATCATCTTTTCTCTATAAGTGTTTTAAGTATCATTCTAGGTACGGTATAGCTCGCTTCTCTGAACGTACCCAAGTTTGGACATGGGAAATTAACATGGGGAATTGGTTTTTATTTTATAATATCTTTCCAGATCATTTTGAAATTATTATTGAGTGATGCATTTGTGGAGGTAAAGGAGTAGTTGTATTCACTGTAAAAAGGTTTTAAAAATCGTATTTTGAAATTCGCGCTCGGCCTGATTTGTTTCGAAACGTTCCCTTCCAGTTTGACGATCGCGTCTTGAATTAGCCATAGAAAATCGAAGTGTCAAAGGGAATTTAGAAATTATTCCTCGATTCTCACTCAGAACTCACTTAACAAGTCAAACTGAGTTATTTTATCCAGTTTGATGATTATTATTGTAGCCGG